GGAGCCCATCCTGGAAATGCCTGCCTTTCTATAGGGATAACTGTGCTAAAAGAATAGAGAGCATCCAGATATCACACCTGTAGCAAACAAGTTAGCTATTAACAGACTCTCAATTCTGTTTCTGTCAATAGTTAACGGTGATAAAGTTAGTCGCCAATGAGAAGCATCAGGCAACAGATCCCAACCTTTTTTAATTTTAATGTACACTGTCAAGCTTGGGCCAGTCTTGATTCTGGTCAGACACCCTTGCTTGCAGACCACTTAATATTGCTTGGGTGTGTTGCACTCTGCTTCTGTGGTCTATGGGACAAACAAGAAGCCCCCCGCCAAAGCCATTTGACTCGTCATTTTTGGTTTAGTTTGTTATTCATTTGCACAAGTGCTAAACATATGAATCCATTGTTCAACACTAACAGACTTCGCTGATTCCTTAGATATTATTTTCAGACCACACCCTTTCCTTTATCCACAGGGGTTATGGCATTGGAACGAGGCTTGTGGAAGACTTTTTGGCCAGGTCCTGCGTGGGAAGATGCCACAGTTATTCAGAAATTACAGACATAATTGCCCAGGTAAATGAATTTTAGCTCTGTCAATGTGTTTTAAAAATCTCTGATGCTTTCTGAATGTGGTGGTTTTCTGCTCTGATGGGACAGATTCCATCTGTATTCGTTGTTAGGGGATTCTGATTGAAAAGCATTTTATTTCAGCACAGAGATAAAGCTATTGTGAACTGAAAGAGAAATGCTTCCAGGCATTTAAGCATCTATAGATTTTCCTGACTACAGGAGTACATGGAGTGTATATCTCACACTGAGAAAAGTGCTTTGAGAAAGTAACAGAAGGGAAATGTCATAGCGCAACCTTGTGACATTCATGCCCCACACCAGTTGATGTAATGGTTTTCAGCACATGCAAGGAGAGCGTCTTTGGCAGTATCTGACAATATTTTTGTAGTTATTTCCAGAGCAATGTTTTCCCAAGAGAAAAACAGAGCTTCCTGTAAATGTACGTGTGCAAAGAACTTTCCCAGCCCTGATGTACAGGAGACAACTTGGAATCATCCAGGACTAACTCACATGTATGGGATATAAGATTGGGAAATGCATCTTTAGCCAGCATTCCTCTAATTGACAGGCCTATGGTTATTAATTTAGTGTTGTTGATCTGTGGGAGACTCAGAAAGCATGCAGGGTATGCTGCCTCCAAGTCCACACAGCTGACAAATTAAGTCAGTCTCATTCTTTTCTCTCCTGATCCTTAATATTGTTAATACATCCCAAACTGGCTCTTCACATGACTGTGTATAATACTACTACACAGTGCTCTCTGATTCTAAATTCAATTTTACATATTCTTTGTCTTTCATCCTCACAGTAACCCTCTGAAGTAGACACAGTAGGAGTTACTATCCCTATCTTCCAGATTTAAAAAACCAAATCTCAGAAGGAATATGATGGAAATTGAATAATAGCATATGTGAAAAAAATTATACATTAAAAAAATACAATCGAAATGAAAAATTTTTCCACTTACTGATATTATTACTGTTATTATTTTCTGGCTGGTGAATCATGTGGTTGAAATTGTTATCCAAGTGTCTTCCCACCTTAGCACAGTGAGTTTACCATACCACCAAACAGGTTTTTTAAAAAAATTCCCTTTCCATATTGGTAGAATATAGATAAGATCCTGAAACAGTTGAAAAATAAAATATTTTTTTACTAGACCGATTCAATAGGCAATACTACAAGAATACTAGCTATGTTAATGGAAAGTAAATATTGAATTATGCAAATGTAGATGGTTGTGTTTTGTTACATTTCTAGTTGGTAGCTTTCCGAGGCCTTCTGGTTAGTAAAGCACAGTGCCCCTGTAAGAGGATGGTCAGCCTCGTTTGAGAATGACTCCCCCTTAATCTTTGCCCAAATCCATTCAATTGTCTTAGTATGGGTATACAATATGAAATATAAAATATGTCTAGGGAAAGCTCAGCTTGCAAATTCTCAAGGCAGTAGAACACTGACTGATAATTTGAAAAAGTATATAATGTGTAAAATAAAACCCAACTTGTACACTTAAGGTTGCTTGTTAGGCTTTGGACATTTGAAGAAGAAATGGTTTCAAGGGCTGATCGGAGACTCCATTCTGAAGATATATTGGGACAATCTTTGAAAGTTTCAATTTATTCCTTTGGATATGTTCATATATGTATGGTACACACATTTTTCCATTGGATAATATATTCACTAATGTTTAAAAGAGATGATTAACAGAACCAAAAAAAAAATCTGTTATAAAAAAGTCAGTAACCAACTGGAAGTGGAGGCATATACAATCTCATTGCTGAAAACCTGGAATTATTATACATGCCAACATGAAGTTCACGTTTATGTGGGGCCTACCATTGGAATTATTACTTGATAGATACTCAGTGAAAATTCGTTGAAAGAAAAAAAAGAGGAAGGGAAAGAGGAGAAGAAGGAGGAAGAAGGAATGAAAGCAATCTTTCATTCAGGACCCTTGGGAAGAGTGCTTCTCTTAGCAGGAGGTGGCCTGGGAAGTTGCTCATACTGCCCAATACAGTTAAGGGCTCCTAGGGTCCCTTCAGCGAGGAGCTACGCATTATACCTGACAATGAAGTCTTCAATCTGTCGAAATAGAGCAAGAGTTCTTTCTGTGAACCAGATTTTTTTTAAAAAGGCTGAAGAGGAACCTAGTAAGAAATGTTATATAGAGTGTGTAAGAAAGAAAGAAAATGGAATTCATATCTCAGCAGAAAGAGGCCAAAAAAAAAAAAAATCCCCTCAGAACATCCTCCATTTCAGAAAGCATATTTTACCTTTAAAAGAGTTAAAGCAGCTTCTAAAGGCACTAGACCTCCTAACTGTGTAATTTTCACCAAGTTAGAGAAAAGTCTGTTTGATATAAAACTATTAACAAAAACATGTACAATACCTGTTTTCCAAATACCCCTTCTCTAAACTTCTCATTCTCATGTCTTGTCGACCATTCTGATGAATTTTTATCTGCACTTTCTGTACTCAATGCAGTGCACATATATTCACTTCCACTTCTAGGCAAGGTTCTTTCTTGTCAATGAAGAGAACATTACATCATCTTCACCCTTCCTCCATGTGGAGCGATTGTCTTCTTGTCTTTGCATCTTTCTTCAAAGGCCTAATTTCCTCCCTCTTAATCATTTTTACTTCTCCAGCAAAATGTTCTTTTACATGTGCCAATGATGTCACCCATTTCAGGAGCATTTGACACAGATGAAGGATCAGACTTTAGTTATAGACTCACCCACTGATGCTCTGCCTATAATTAGCAGCTTTTATTAAAAGGTCTGGCCTTTGGCAGCATGATCTCATTAATCCTTGTCAACTCTCCTCAGAGGAGGCAGATGTCAAATGTTACAGAGTCAGTTTTATAGAGAACTATGTCAAGGTAAGAGGAAGTTTACTACAGTCATATACTGCTCCCAGAGCATGGCAGAGTCAGGAATAGAACCTAATGGTTGTGGATTGTGTTTAGCTGCCCTCCCAAACTATTCATTTCCACACAACACTATCATCATCCTTTTCAGTACTGAGCACCTATATATCATGGCATGCACAGAACTCAGGATCTCTGTCCTGGTTCCAGAGAAGGAAATAGAGAAAGAGAATGCATTTGAAGAGAATGGATCAGATGAAGAAATCTATGCCAGACAGGTGCAGTGATTCCTCTGAGTTAGTAAAAAGACTTCATGTAGGAACAGGTCTCCCGAACTTACACTCCAGTCTGCACACCTCTGCCCTTGGGAGAGAGGAACTGTGTAACTGCAGATACTGAGAACATTCCCCTCACTCTTGTTTTCCTCACTTGGTCTTTTCCAAAGGGAAGATCATTCTGTCACTAGGCCTCTGACAAATTCTTTTAACAGATAGTAGACTTCAAACTGCACAAAGCCCATGACAGAGGCTGAATCATTGATCAAAAAAATCTTTCATCTGCCTTTCATTTCAAATAAGAAAGAGATGACATGCTAATTCTAAAGTCAACTTCCCATAACCTTAAAATGGATCCATTTTTAAAATGTGACTTTATTACATACAAGTAAACTTTTCTGGTGGTTGCCTCAAAGTAAAACTACAAATATTAAAAAAGACATACTAATTGATAACAAAAAATTATAAACAGCAGTATTATATCATGACATTGAAAAATTTTAATAGTACAGAGATTTTCTTTATAAAAGTTCAAAATAATTCCCATCTATTATCTGTTTCCCTCATAAGAACCTTGTGAAGTAAAAAAAATACATCAATCATTGGCCCCATTTTACTGATAGTATAATTGAGTCTTATATGACATCACCACAAACATATAGTAAGAAAAGCCAGCTTAGAATTTAATTCTTCTGACCTTTTCTAGTGCTTTTTCCACAAATTGTTTCTTTAAAATATAACTTTGAAGATTATTTTCTACTATGATAATTATTCTGAGTAGAATTTTGTAGTTGTTCTAAATGAAGATATGTAATTTGCAGTAGAGTTACCATAGCTGATTTTAGTTGTAGTAATGAAATATTAGAGAATTTAGCTATTATTTACATAACTATATGTCTTTCAGTTTATTATAAGAGAAAGTAGAAAATACAATTGCACCTTTCTCTGACCTAAGAACTAAAAGAATACCTCCTTATTTAAAATACGTATTTCAGGGTTTCCAATGCATTTACGATAAAAACATTTTTATTATT